AACGGAACTTGGAATGTTTTCAAATTACGTCACTCAGTCACGTGCCTTCCGGCCGGAAAACCGGCCCAAATGGAACAATATGGCGATTACTAGTTACCTGCGTCCTACTGGCCATTCGCAAAGGACGCCGGGAACCAGCGAAAGGCGGGAACCAGCCAACTATTTTCCAAGTTCCGACAGATTGCTGCCGTTGGTGGCGTGCTCTGAGAATGTAAATACTATGGTCGCGACGAAAAAATAATATGCGAAATAAAACAATTTGCACAGAAATTTTCTATCATCTTCCCATTCAGAGTTTATAGTATTCCATTCCATAATAATATTCTTTCTCACCTTTAAATAAGCATCCATGCTACTTCCGCCAGAGTCTCGTTTTAGTGCTCCTTTTTTTGCTGCATATTCTGAGTGACGGTGGCAATTATATTTGGAAAACATTTCACGTTACTGTGTCTTTGAAATTACGGGCCATGTGCCTTACCACACAACAGGTTGTCGGCATCTTATGGCGGTAAATAAAGTAACAGCACTGCTATCAGTTGTGTTTTGGTTCCACCAGCTGATTTGCCTGCCACACAGCGCGTCATCCCAAATGTCACGAGGTGAAAGTGAGTAACGTCACGAAGATTTTGTGGTACAGACTTTCTTATTGGCTAATGCTTTCCGTTCTAAAACCCTTACCCGGAATTGGGTCCAAGTCTGCACTACATTACCATATTTACTTTGAAATTTTTGCACTTTCCTATGTTCTTTGCTTAGTTATTCTTCAGTGTCTTAGTTCAACTGGCATTGATTATATAATATGGGCATCATGAATAAATGAAACACAATAAATGCACAAAAACATCTGAATTGATGTGTTAAAAATGTACTCGTCATGTATATGACATAGTGTTGTCATGTGGCGAATTGGGAACATAAATTCCTAGGCAAGCGGGAATTAATGTATAAAAGCATACAGTATAGGTAGTGTGTTTCTTTTAATGTGTTGTCAAGTTGCGGTTTTAAGAGAAATTACCAACCAACTTGTCAACACAATCCCATGCAGCCTTATTATTACTCTTTTCGTATGCTGCGATCAATCAACATTTGGCCAGTCTTTCTCAAAATACACAACATTAGGTTCGCCAGTAAATCCACCTCACAAATGGGCCTCCACATGGGTAAAAAACGAAGTGCGAAGTACCCGTTTTAAAAGGTGTAAAAATCAAAGTGATGCTTTTTAAAAACTTAAAAAACGAAGTGAAAATTTTATAAAAATTGTAAAAATGACCTGTTTGAGTTATAGAAAGTGAATATCGATGTGATTATTTTATAAAATTAGGAAACTGAAGTGAATTTCTTATAAATAATATGAAAGCGAAACAAATATCATACATTGCCGAGCATCGCCGGCTTCGCCGAATCTTGCGCAAAAGAATATGGCTATATATATATATATATGGTATAAAAGGGAATAAAAGCGTAATACTGTAAAACATGTTTTTTTCGCGAATTTAGCGAAAAGACTGAGTTGCTAATTCAAGATGTCGTTAATGACTTTATTATAAATTCAAAATGACCGCCAAACAACGTATTTTTTCTCCACGCACACTTCAACACAAAAAAACGTACTGACATGATAGATACACTACAAAAGTAAATACACAAAAAATAAACGTATTCATTGTGGTCATTAATTCAATGGAAATAAATATTGATATATTATTACGGTAATTAGTAGTACCAGAGGTACATTACTTAGGGTTTGCAACTACGGTGACATGATACCAAGATCCCGTTACAATCTCGCTCTCGCATAAACGTTCCAACTCAGAAAAATGCGAATGCGCATGCCCGAGGTAACTAGGATACTAGGTTGTCAAGGTGGATCATACAATGCTCACGATATGACGGATTACGAGAACTATATTTTCTGTACATTTTCGATGTATTACATTTTTCACTATGATAGTGACAAGAAAAGTTTTATTTTTGCATTACAAACCTTGAACATTGATATGTGTCATGTCAGAAGGTCGTAGCCTCAGTCTCGCTATCTACGAGAAGAGACTTGAATGGGATCTTGACATGATGTCACCATACAGTACTATGCGAGTTGCAAACCCCAAGTAATGTACCTCTGGTAGTACTTAGTAATTTGTGAGTCCCAGTGAAAAAGGTAAATGTTCTGGATGTAACGCAGCAGCGATACCCGCTTTTTCAAATCCCTGTTGAAACAGGTTTTTGTCTTTGCGAACAGAATCAAATTACACTTGACAGTTTTTCTTTGTTTTTATGGACTCCGAGGTGATAACTGCGCATTTGTTTAACAACATTTCATCAGAAAGTAACATGTCGTATATGTAACAGTTATCAGTGGCGGATCCAGAGGGGCCAGGGGGCCATGCCCCCCTAAACGCATGACGATTCATATTATCTGGATTATGCATAGCTTCTCTGCAATTTTCGCTCCGTAATGTTAAGCGAAGCTTCCCCCAATACATTTTGCTGGATCCGCCACTGACAGTTATGAAGAATGTTCAAGAGAATTAAATAAATGATTGCATCGTGATAAATGTCTATTGTATGCATTTTTTTTTCTGAACTTCAAAGATGATATTACTAGTTTATTTGCAGGACAAGATTTAGTCATAATATGCTTCTCATTTACAAGTATAGTCACACAAATAAAATAGTCACATATCTGTCATCTTTGGTCCAATCATGAAACTCCTGCACATGAATCATGTCCTTAATGTGATGTATGTGCTAAAGATGACCAAAAATAATATATAGCTGAGTTATGACTCTGGATGCACAGAAGATAAATTGTATATGCCGAATTTTCGACTAATTGGGGACTAACAGAAACAAAACTATAAGCAGTACAATCTGTTACGCTTTATTAGTATGAAGATTTGCCCTGATAACATTTGTAATGCAATAAATCATTGTATCTAAAATGCAAAGTTTCTAGTTAATATTAATTAGTACACGGTATTAATTAATAATTGAATGCTTTATTTGTGAATTTGTCATAGATACGGCCCCGGATCAACAATGATTTACACAAAATGGCCACTAGTCAGCAATTTTGCAACCAATGCAAAAAAGTTTCATCATGTTCAATGTACGTACGAAAACCTATTGAAATTATTTTCATGCATTAGTAGAAGGTACGGCAACATATATGATGTATGTGTATGTTTGGGATACAGTCCTGGAACAGCTACAAAAAGTCTATCAGTGGGACGTTTTGAATGATCTTATGTAGCGGGAAATGACGTGCGTCAAGGGATTCCATCACGGTCAATGTACTACCAAATTTAAATACAACATCTGCAAGAACAGCCAATATCCGGTTCCGAAATGGAATTAATGATTGACTTTGATGACTTTTAGCACTAAAATGGTTGCTATTTGACCATCTTGAATTGAATCATAAAATAAATAGAAGTGCATAACGAAATGATGTGATGTAGGTGTACAACTTAGTGAACTGCAAAACAGACATTGATAAATCATCGTCAAGTGACATCAACAAATAAATCAACCACTGCTTAACAAAACACATCAACTAACGGTTCAAAGTTTAAGTAATAACATTAACAATTAACTTAATCTTTGTAAGATCTAGTTATCATGACAAACATTGCTATACACCTTATCGTGCATGGGGTTATTTTACAAAGTACCGTTGTCGAATTAAATATTATATTTATGCCTGAAATTCGAATATTTAACTATTGTCATCAGAATTGATACAAAGACTAAGGCTAATTCAAAATATTCAGCATGATTTTAATTTTCATCCCAAACAGATCATTCATATTAAAAATGGTTTTATATGAATATAATATTGTATGTGCATAAGTATTTGCCTTTAATCCATACTAATGGTAATACCTACCATCATTTTATTCGGATTTAATATTTATTTATTTATTTATCGGATTTAAATTTATGAAAGCCTGATTTACTCTGTATTGAAAACGGGGTAATATACTCACGAAAATGGCGATTGTTGTGTAATTTATCATTGTTCTTATGGTAACAATGTAACTAGTACTTGGTAAAAAAAATCCGATGAATCGTGTATATATCAATAATAATGTAGCAGTTTTGAAAACAGAAAACAAGGAGTAATGTTTGCAATGTTCCTGAGCATCGTTGAGCGAACAACTAAACAATGGAATGTTAGAGATATTAATTTCATTTCAGGCAGAGACGTTCGTAAACAATGTAAAAAAAAATTGTTCAATTTTAAAATTGGAATGCACAACGTAATCACTTAGTGATAAAGTGCGGGCATCAGACAGCGCCCTCGCACGGAGAACGAAATGTTAGAGCAAGTTCGGAAAAGGTCAGTTATGTATTTTGTGACGTCACCTATTAGCTCACGTTTTCTCAGGTTTAGATCATTTGGCAGCGACACCTTTCGGGGAACATTATTATGGCGTCAGCAGAAGTTGATGTTCAATGTAAGTTCAATCGGCGGGTCATGGCCCCAGGTATGGAGGTATAAGGAAACGAATGTCTTATCGCCAGGGTTCAATCATGGAGCTAAGAATAGATGGTTCAGTCAAGTAACAGGAGGTACAATATAACGATTTATCATGTATGCTCTTAGGAAATCTAAATATGCCATGTCTGTGTGTCTATGTCTGCATTTCCCTAGACGTTTGCAGTGATATATTTGTCATTATGCACGTCTTTAGTCTCTAACTTGGTTAAAGTAAATTGTCATTGCATTCATAGATCTGCCCTAGGATCATTGACGCATCAAAGCATGGAACCGCGTTTGTAGTTCCATGATCAAAGTAAAACAATCGCCCTATCTCCAGTTAAGCCTAATCTCTCAGATATATTTGTTTGACTATCTGATTCAAAATGGCCATGTGGTGGCCATTTTTGTGCAAAAAAATCATCAAAAATAAAGCATTTCTGGCATTATGGGGCAGGAATCCAGAAGAAGTACCTACAATTTATGCAATTTTTTTTTTAAATTCTGCTAATTTATTCATGACGTAGCAGTTTCTGTGCTCCAGAATATTCATTCATTTGTGGGTCAATACATTCTAAAAGGGGTGATATATTATTTTTGGGGGTAGAGTTAGAAAGGGGGAAAGGGAGTTCCCAGCGCACTGTCTTGTCCACTGTACCACGAGTGTCTTCACACTAGTGATAGGATTTAAGTCCTACTTATAGGAGCACTGTTTTCACTAGCATTCAAAAAATAGTGCTAACCGTACTGGATTTGAACCAGCAATCTCTCACATTGATGACATTGTACATATCCACTGAACCATATGGGTAGTCATGCAAATGAAGGATTTGTTTTCATATTTAGCTTTATTGCAAATTAGTGTTTGCGAGAAAAGACTGGCAGGCATGGGAATTGAACCCAGGTCCTCCTGATCACTATGTAGACAACTGAACAACAAGACCACAATGGATTGACTGGATGTGTTTCATTTGATGAGACTATATAGTGTGTATATATATAGAAATACAACATATTTCTATTATTGAGTTACAATTGTCCAAAAAATTGCCAATTTTGCGTTTTTACTTGTGTAAACTATATGCATGCCATAACCCGTTAGTGTACATCTTGCCAATTGGGTGTTTGCCATTTGCATTGCCCATACCTGACCCGACCCTAACCCTAATGCCAAGACACGTTCCTGTTAATAATTCCGTTGCCCATACCTGACCCGACCCTAACCCTAATGCCAAGACACGTTCCTGTTAATAATTGCTCAATAATGATACTCTGTTGTGCACTGTCTGCGGGTAAGTTGCATTGATGTCAACTGATTAAA